CCCCCCTCTCTCTCCCCATGAACAAGTGACTCAACCTTAACACATACCAACCGGTGATCACGGATACTAAGTTTGATTTTCGTTTTTGTTTTTGGTATTAAAAAAAACAGAAAAAAAAAAAAAAAACAAGTTCAAGTTTCACCTTTGAAGCTTGAAAGTTGAATAGTATTCTGTTCCAGCATGAGAGATAACACACATATCTAATAAAGATTAGCATGAAAAAAAAGAAAAGAAAAGAAAAAAACACACGTATCAGCCGGGAATTAACGGAATCGGAAAAAAAACACTGACCGTGAACCTGTGAGCACCGCAAGGGCTTCGGGACCTCCCACCGCGTCCTCGATTGCGTTGCACTGTTTGTGTGTGCTGCTGTCCATCCAGATAGGCGAATCTAGCGGTCCAGGAAGGTTTGATTTTCAATTCAATATTAAGTATTATTAACAACAACCTCACCCGCATCAGTCTCGAAATACAGTCTTATACACTCACATATGTGGTTTTTATAATTTCAGAAATTGGGAATCTTTCAGATATGTCATGGATTGGTTGTACTGTGTGCAACGCAAAACATACATATACTGACATAATACATGTGAGAATCATAATTCAAATTATTCAATACTTCTATTACTTCTTTTAAAACAATATTTTATTATTTTCATTTTTTATTTATTTATAATTTGTCATCATTTCAAATCCGAACTTACGTAGGACACCAATAACGAACCACAGACACTTGATTGACTACCGTCTTCACCTGACGAGAACGCCCGGTCATTACACCTGTATCTGGGGTAAATTTCTGTCTGGATACAAGCGCATCTGTTTTGGGTACAGAGGGTCATAGGTTCGAATCCTGTCACCTTGAGTCCAAATCAGAGTAAATTGACATGACTATAAAGACATGCTCTATTTTGGGTAAAGACAGCGGCATTGGAATTACGGAACCGAAGACAGACTCAAACTGGTGGACCTTGTTTAGGACACTTTAGTGACATACACATGACAGCAAAAGTAATAAAGATAGCAAACATGATCGCAAAAATAGATAAACGTTTTTTTTTTTTTCAAGTGTTCTTTGAACTTCTTTCATATTATTAGGTCTATCAAAAAACACAAAGGCAGTAGTGCGCGGATTTGAGCCCCCGGCAGTGCTGGAAAAGGTATTGCCCGCCCTAAGTGAAGGTGGGCCTGCTAATATGTGCCAAGGCCTGGGTACAGGCCAGTGTGATCACGCTAAAGGGCTGTTGGAATCTATAAGCGGGCCTGAATCTGTGTAGTGGCCCTTCTAGGTCTCACCCCACATCTCGGCTGAGGCCCCGTACAGATCACAAGTCGAGCCCTACAGCGGTGCATCATTCAGCGGGCATCATTCGTGAACTTTTTGGTTGTCCTAATCAGATCACAAGTCGAGCCCTACAGCTGCGTGACGCAGACCTGTCTCTAGACCTAGACCTACACCAACCCGCACCTTCCAAGGATCTCAGACGAGTCCCCCCGGGCGCTACCATAGGGACACCCCGTAGTCTTGAAGACGACCCGGTCATAGATATGTGGTCATCCCAACACGTATCACATCTAGCAGACTCTATGGGTGGCAAACCACCCTTCTACTATCAATGTGATGACCCACCCTGCCCTGCCTAAGATGAGACCCCCACCCAGAGACCCTTCCCCAGATTCACGCCCCAATCGACCCCCTGAATGGGAATGCAGACAGGTACCAGCCTAGATGAAGCCCAGCCCACAAGCATCGTAAGAGAGACATGAGGCCCGCCCTTGGGAATCGTACACACCTAACACCCAACCCCTACCACTACTCAACGGGGGTGCAGAGAGAGGGGCCGGACCGGTGTGAGGAAACCCGGGGAGGGGTCGCCTGTCCGTCGCTAAAACCAGAGTCAGCGGCGTCTGTCACCCGCTGTGCCCGCTTCAGAGGTCCTCAGCGGCGTGACAGGAAGTGGGACCAGGTTTACCTGTCGCACACCTAAGTATAGCTGGCCATAATGCTCTTACTGCAGGTGGGTTTAAATGGGAAATAAAATGGGAATAACGAAGGAAGTTCACCCAATACACATCAGGGGCTGGCAGAGTAGAACGGTTGAGACATCCCCTAGTAATTCAAACTCAGATCTTGCACAAGAATGCGAGTTGATATTTGCCCTTTGGGTCTATAAACAGTGAACCAGTACAAGGGGGCCTCTTCTCGAGAGTTACAGAATCAAGGGGGGGGGTGAATAAAATAGGATAAATAATAAAACAAGAAATGAGCTAAAACTGCAATTTACAGAACCCAAATAAAGACCTCAGCGGCTCATAAGCGCTCAGTCAGGTCAGCAGTTGCAGATCAAATGGCCACTCAACAGATGCAGTTTCAAATACTTAATATGCTACCAAATGCTTTTCAGCGGCAACGACAAGAGCCAGAGAGATAGCGGATCTGGAATCCCGTTCCGCGGTAACATGCAAATGGCAACTAAGAGCAAGTTGAGCGCACAGCCACAATCTGGTTGAAGTAGGATTTTTGACCCATGCACAGCGACCGTCACCTTTCCAAGGGGTTTCCGATTGGCAATAATCCGAATTGTATCGATGAACCCAGAAAATACTATTTTTCCCTGCGGTGTAGTGAAGGGACAGGCAGCAGAGTGACGCTAGGCTCTTTCCCCGTAATTGGGCAGTCAACATCGTTCTTCATTCACGGGATTTTTGGTTTGCTGATTTTTTTTTATTTTTTATTTATTTTTTTCTTTTTTACCAACGCAGGGCCTTATGGTCCTGGCTCCTTCTATTCTGGGGAGTGTCAGTCCGGTTCCTATTCCACCGGCAAGCCAAAAGAATCATTACATCAATAAAAACTCACACACGCTTCCTTCCTTCGGCCGAAGGATCCCTGAACAGCATTGATTGCTCCACTATGGTGGAGGATTGACTGTGAGCTTGCCTTATCCCCCTCTTTCCTCTCAGACCTAAGGTTCTGGTCTGCCTGATAGCACCATTATTCCTAGAAAGAGCTCATCCGATAACCTTGCCGTTCTGTTTCCACCCCCCCCATCTCTCAGTCCCTTTTGGAAGATCTGTGATAAACCTTAGACCCTAAGCTTTCACCTTTGAGGCGTGATGTCCCTCTTCCCATTTTAGCTACTCTCTCTTGTTAAGACATCCTGACAAACATCGACTCTTCCCCCTCAAAATGTGAAACGGTATTACTTCAACCCTTTGGGCCCGCCCTTATCCCCTTGTTCTGGTCTTGTGGTGCCATCGCTCCAACTTTGTGCTGTCAGAAATTGCTGTGACATTTTATGCTTGTCGAGGCCCCGTGGAGGTCTGATCTGACTGTGTTTTGCCCTTCCCTTGTTATCTATTCTCGATAGCCTCTCTCTGAGATTTGAGCTATGCTCATCATTCCAAAATACGTTTTTCGTGTCGTGTTCCAGAGTATGATTGATACCACCGCCTTTGACCTCCGGAGGAAGCTTCTTTCTGGCAACGAGTCATGCTTCCAGTAGATACAGTCCTCATCACTCTCAGTCATCCTGCTTTGTCACTACCCCGTATAGCCCGTTCTTATGCTGTTCCTTGTCTTCTGCCTAGGCTTGCACAATGCCATTGTCCCTTCAAGATTCTGGTCCGGAGATGCCTTGCCCTTGCCCCGATGGTCCTTGTCCAAGACTGTTCCGAGAGTTGGAGTTGTGCCAGTCCTTCCAGTATATACKGTCGTCTCRTATATCAGCAACTTTTCCTCCTATCAACCATAACCTGTTGAACTTCWRTCTTGCCTTCTTCCRCTGTTCCYCGTCTTCTGACCATGATAGTTTGATTTTCCGCCATTGGCATAGGATTTCCGCCTGTATCATTGCTTTCGTCTCCAGCCAACACATTTCTCGTGCGTTGGCCACTCCTTCGATCGTTCTGCTGCATCTTTCCTTCCATATGACCSACAGTGTCACCTTCCTGATGAGTCCATACCAAATCTTTTCCGSTTTCCGGAGTTGTGCAGGGATGTTAGTCAGAAGAAGAAGTTGGATGGGAAGTTCGGGGAAGGGGGTCGGGAAAAGGGAGTTCCATAGGGACGATGCTCTTGCCCAAAATTCTGTTGCCTCCCTACAGTGTACTAAACAATGAACTATATCCTCTACAGCCCCTTCCGTACATACTTTGCACTGTTCGGAACTATCGGGGTCTGAGCCCTTCCGCCTCACGTGAAGCCATTGGTTAACTGGTAGTGCCGCATATATAATCATCCATTGGAGACTCCTGATTTTAATTGGTCTGATTGTTTTATAAATCTTCCATGGAATCTGTGTGATCTTGTCTGCTTCTTGCCCTATCAGCTTCTGCYACCTGGCCTTGATCACTGGTTCTGGGTCTTTTGTTTTTAGCAGTAGTTCGTATCCAAATTTGACCGTGTAATCCTGAATAAGGGTGAGTCTCTTTGTGTTCGCCCCCCTTTCTGGTTTCCATGCCCAYTCCCTTGGGTCAAACTCCAGGTTGTGAACGGCCGTATCGATTCTGAAGATGGACTTCGGCCATGTGCCTAAGACCCTTACTTTTCTGAGCAGGAAGTAGTCCATGACTGTTGTTTCCACATTGCTGTTCTTAATCATTATCCTCCCCTTCATGGAATAGTCAATTGGGAAAGAAGTGAACACCGCTTGAGTGGCTGATCCTGGGAGTCGGTGTGAGAATTGGAAAGCCCTGGAGGGGGGGGGTTCCTGCACTTTGATCCCCCATTCACCACTTATCCATGGCTCACCTTGTTTTAGTATATCTTTCCACTCTTGAGGAACAAGATTGATAATGTGTTGCCGGTTAGGTCCTCTTCTGTGGCATCCTTTCAAAAGTTCACTTAACTGCTGTTCAGAGACCCAGTCCTTTTYTTCTTCGTTCCACAAATGGCCGATTGTCCAAACTCCATTCCTTACCCATGATTGCCATTTGTAGTCTAMGAACAGGGGTTCRTCGTTATCGTCTTTCAGCCATTCGTTGCCGAAGAGAGGCTGTCTCAGTATCTCGTCCTTAGACTTTGGTCTGTTGATTTTCTTTGGCATTATTTCCCTCCAAATCTGGATTAGAGACGCCCAGTATGGTGTTTGACGGTTGTCTATACCCCTTTCTACTTCCCACCTGGTTCTTCTTCTCGCCCTTTTCAAGGACCATTCCTTGTTCATTACCCAGAAAAGCCCTGTCATGTCATTTGGCGATGTCACTGGAGCCAAGGCCCTTATGCTATCCAGAGCCAGTTTGTTCCATGCCGTTTCTGGTTTAGTCAACAATCGAACTATCCATTTGACTTGAAGAGCTCTAGTTTCGCACTTCGGGTCAATGATTCCTAGACCCCCCTGTATTGGTTTTCTTGTGATATACTGCCAGGCTATCTTTGGGATACAT